ACCTTTCATTTTGCTACCTCTAGACCAACCACTTTTTAAAGACATCGGTTGTTGTGGAATGGAAGAATTTTCTGCAGTGATACACACCCTCTTTTCTGCTGTATGATCCTCATATATCAGTAAAGCACTCTACACACACAATGAGAACACTGAAAGTTAGAGCAATCCTTATTTCCAATTGTTTGTTCTCATCTTTCACTATTCAATCACATCTTCCACCATTTCACTTTTGCTTTTCCAAGCAAATATGTCTCCTGTACAGGTGGTAATATACTATGTTAGTAGAAGTCTTATTAGCCTAAGTTAGGAAGTTGGTTTAAAAAAAAATACACACCACAGACACATGTAACCACAACAGACACTTGAGATGATCAGATCAAAGTTATTCTGCAAAGTTTCATCAGTTAAAAGAACAGTGTTTGATTTTACTGACACCACCTGGGGTATTTGCGTAACATCAGCAAACGAAGACGATCTTTAGCCTCCTCGATGTTGAGTGGTGGCCTTTGTGAAAGAGTGGAGTCATGTTCCAACCTACTGCAGAGATTCTGAAGTTTTATTAGGAGCCCTGCTTTGTCCTGTTTCCCAACAGAGATCCAGTGTACTCCTCCTGGAAAGTAATCTAACAAGAAAAGCAGTATTAATCATGCTGTACATTTTAAATAATTTTCAATATTTAATAGCAACTGACAGTAGTAAGTCAACATTAATTAAAATGCAAACCTGTAAAGTCTATTGCAAGCCTTCCTTGCAACTCTACTATTTACACCAAGGGGTGGTTCTACAAGACCACTACTGTTTGCTTTTAAAGGAACAGACTTTACAGGACAAGCACCCACAGAAATTTCACATMATCATTGCTGCTGTTGTCCCTCCTTTCTATGTGGTTTCCTGCCTGTCCCTACAAAGCCCCTTCTGCATCCATCCTTCTGGTAGTCTTAGCATTTCTATTTCTAACCCTGTAGTACTGCAAAAGTTCAGAGTTTGGAGTGTAAAAATAATCCTGAAATGGTGATCAGGAGGACATCTAGAAGAGTCAGCTGCAGCAGAGGATGCTATAGGACTTATCCCTACATTGTTTTGTTTTTTTTTAATGCCACATCCTACTTTCTCCTCCTTGTGTCCTTTGCAGGGGAAAAAAATAAAATAGAAAAAATGCATTTATATGGTTTCATCTATGATCTGCTTTAAGCTAAGGCAATACTAATCACCCATAACTGACTACCACTATTAACATAGAWGCAAAAGTTAGAACAAGATTTTTTTTAACTCACATAGCAAGGACAGGAGTCTGAGGATTTTACAAGCAATGCCCCAAATGAGTGTAACTAGATATATTATTTTGCACTAACAGAAATAACATTTTAAAATTAATTAAGGATGCATCTACTCTCATAAACCAATGCAGATCCTAAGGTGAAAAACTATTCAAAACCTTTTTCTATAAACTAATGAAATACTTAGTGGACCGAGAACACTAAAAGCCARTATTTCAAAATCATCTAAGAAATTTAGGTATCTAAATCACTTTCAAGATGACTGTGATATTGCATCATGTAAGTCCAATATGTGTATACCTATAGTGATTTTTATAAAGACACAGATGTTTTTCCAGAAGTACCTTCCAAGAGYTGTGGATCCCTTAAAGCTTCTGCTGTTAAAACAGTCTTCCCACAGCCTGCCATTCCATAAACTGTGACCCAGCCTGGCTCACTTCCCAGGCAGTACAGCTTCTTTTTAATAGCATCTACCAGTTTAGACCGAGTGACAAACACAACTGGTCTTTGTGGTACGCCTCCTTCGCAGAGAATGGTCTTCACTAAAGTTAAGAACAAGAAACATCAAAATAAAAAGTGAGTTCTAAATGTGATGCCCCTTCAAACGCAACCAAAACAACTCTTTACCCAAAACAACTACTGGGCTCCCTCCCCTCCCTCCCCACCACATGTTCCATAAAAATGCCCTAAAACCTGCTGGAATCAAAACACCAAATACTGAAAAAATACYGCTTTTTAGAAATAAATTACTTCTCAGGTAACTGGGTCCCTACCTAAAACAGTGCTCAAATAAATAACTGCATGAGGAAAGCTCGTTACATTAATAYCTAGAAGTGAAAAGATAATTAAAACTCCTGTGGAAACTACTGCAAACATAGGAGCTCAACACTACTATACCCAACAATCAGGTCACTATCTCGACCAGAAGGTACCCCACTGTGGATGCAGTAGAAAAGAAAGGATGCTGTGTAAGGCCTGTCCTTGGCACTTAACAGCACAGCACGGGGGTCCAGGCAAGACTTCCACTGATTTAAGCTGAGACACATAAAATCTGAATTTACCTCTAGAAAAAGAAGAGGTAAAGCATAACAGTAAAGGAAATGTGTGCTTCATCTGTCCACTTTGTGGCCATAAGGAGTGACATAACTGTTAAACTTTGGTTATCCAAGATAACCTTAAACTCCACATGTCTTTGACACTTACTAAATGTAGAGTAGCAGTAAATAGGGCAGTTAGTCATATGCAGTTAGGCTCTTCCCATTAGGAACTACAAGTTTATTTGATGTCAGTCAAAGATAATACCAATGACAACGAAGGTAAAAGTTAAGAACTTATGTAGGGTAACTAAAAGACCTGCTAGAAAGAATTAAGCAACCTAATAATTAGAACAACTATTGGAATGTAGATTGAGAGATTACAGATTACTCTTCAGGATGAATATCAGAATTTTGGAGGCTACAAGTTTTTTTTATTAGATTCAATCTCTAATACATACAAATAAGAGTCTTTCTTTCACTTACAACAAAAATGATACAAAATAGAGAAAACCATGAGAGCTTCAAGTCTCCTGTCTTTTAAAATAAACATTCTTCAATATGAACACTTTGAAGATAACCAATATAAGTTGTAACTGYTGTAGCTCTCCTGCCCTATTAAGGACATGAAATACAAACATAGTGACCACTATGCTACCAAAACAACTAAATGCACCAACTGCTTCTTCATTTGAACAGATATTACACACAGTCACTTTCTAAGGAATATAAAAGACAACTTGTCTTCACACTCAAGCACAGGGATTGCTGTAGTTATACTGACCATAGGAAGTCATTCCATCCATTGAACTCTTCCTGTAACCAGATGAGATGGCAGGCATGCCATCCTGAAGAAGTGCAGCAAGATCTCTGTACCCTTCATGAATCAGTGCATTGTAAAAGGATCGATATGAATTATTATCTTTTGTAAGAATAATGTTAATTAGCATAGCTGCTCGTTCCTTCCGTGTACTCTAGAAAAATAAATAGAGATATTATCAAAACTAACTTAGCAATCATTTAATCTATCACTCTGTAAACTATAGATMATTTAGAGTTGCAGAAATTTAAGTTACAAAAGCTTACAGCCTTTGACTTACCAAGTTCTTAAMCTGATGAATTGCAATAAAAACTGCGTGTTAGGCAGACACTTTAGAATTTGACAAATCCAGGATAGTCAGAAATTACTATTTTTTAAAAGGATGGTAAAATATGTGAGTAGACTAGGAAGATAAATAGCAGTGAGAGATGACTCTACCTGCTGCTTCACTCTCTCCTCCTCCTGTAATGTTAGTGCTTCATCAGAAATCATACGATCCATAATGTAAGAAGTCTTGATGTCATTTTCCAATGCTTGACGATTCATAAGCAAATAGTTTCTACTCTTGACATCCATATTTCTTCAGTATGAAAAAGAAGGTGAGGGGAAGGAAGTCAAGTCAGAACGAGAACACAACTTACAAGCACAAGGAAAAGTTTTCAAATTGCTTATGAATTTTGGTGTTTAAGTCAACAGTAGCAAAGCATCTGCTAATTCTGAAAACACAAATTATTTTCCCCATCCCTATAAATTTATGTCTATGAATCTTTTCAGAACTACAAAACCACAGACTACAAGCATCTCATATACTAGGAACTTGCTAAATGTCTCTATGAAAAGGTCTTCTCTGCACCCAGAACATCCCTCAATTTTTTCTAAGTCATGTGATTGGGACAACAGGATGAGAAAGAGGACTGGTCTCATTGCACGGAATAAACGCATTGTTGTCTCCAAGTTCAAGACTTCATACAAGGACCCAAGAGCTTGACATATGATGGAAGAGGGAGCCATCAGCACTGACTGTGCTATACCTTCCTTTGTCAGCATCTGACACACGGCTCTAAACTTGCATTCTTCCTCCATGTCATAAAAAACAAATGTCAGAAGACAACACAAGGTGAAAACTACTGACTACAGGGTAAATGTTTTTCAGAACTGATCAGTTGCCCCCGAGAGTCCAAATCGATCAAAACTCTCTCTCCTTTAACACTCCTGCCCGGAAAGCTCCATAAACAAGTTCAAACTCCTCCACAGAGCAATAGGCAGGTGCCTGCAGAAGCGTTCGCCTTTTCCGGCACGCTCTCCTTCAGGAGCGGGGGAGATGTAGAACAGCTGCCTTTGGATAAGTCTATAATGGAGCGCGTCTTCCGCCGTACTGACAGAATTTCCTATTTTCACTGAAAATTACGTAGTTAGGAAAGCCTTCCACCCTACCTTTATCCCAACGCGTCGCGGAGGAAACGGGACGCGAAAGCTTCCCGATCGAAAACCGAGTAACAGTAATAATGCCACACGTGAAGCAAATACAAAAGAAACCGCTACACAACACCAAAACAAAGGGTTAACTCACACCGTRCCGCTGTCGCCAGCCGCGAACGAAACACAAACCGAGGCGCTCAGCCCGCCGCCGCCCCGTACCCGCGCAGGCGGAACCGTTCCTGGCCCGGCGCGGTCCGTCCGTGTCCGCCACGCCGCTCACCTGCGGGCAGCGCGGATCCCGGCAGCCGCCGAGCCCCCGCCGAGCCCCCGCCGAGCCCCGAGCAGCAGCCGCTGCCCCTCAGCTCCCGGGAATGCGGCGCCCCCAGCGCTTCCTTCTTCCGGGCCGGGGCGGGGCAGGCCCGGCCCCTGTCGCTGCCGTCCCGCCCGCCGCCGAACAAAGCCCCGCTGCCGCGCCGGCGCGGAGCCGCCGAGCCCCGGCTGTGTGCGCTGGGCTCGCTCGCCTGCCCGCGGCGGGGGAGTGGCGGCGGGCGGGCCCGGAGATGGCGCACCGGGCGGAGATGCGCCGGTGGCGGCCGGAGGAGGGGCCGCGGGGCCTGTAAACGTGGTGCCTGCGGAGCAGGGCGGCTCGGCCGCCTCCTCCCCCCTCAGCTGAGGCCGCGGGAGCGCCGCGGGTACGGCCAGCGCGGCAGCGGGGATGGGAACGGGGATGGGGACGGGGACGGGCGGTGCGGAGGGCCGGCAAGGCTGGCCGAGGGTTCGGGCGTGCGGGGAGCCCCGTGGGCCGAGGGGACAGTCGGTCACTTTGGGGGAGCAGAGGGACAGTCGGTCACTTTAGGGGGAGCGGGGGGACAGTCGGTCACTTTGGGGGAGCAGAGGGACAGTCGGTCACTTTGAGGGGCGCGGGGGGACAGTCGGTCACTTTAGGGGAGCAGAGGGACAGTCGGTCACTTTGGGGAGCAGAGGGACAGTCGGTCACTTTGGGGAGCAGAGGGACAGTCGGTGTCTTTAGGGGAGCAGAGGGACAGTCGGTCACTTTAGGGGGCGTGGGGGGAGAGTCGGTCACTTTAGGGGACGTGGGGGGAGAGTCGGTCACTTTGGGGGAAGTGGAGACCGGTGGTCCGGGAAGATCTGTGGGGAGTTGCGGATCCTTCTGGACTGCCCTGAACTGCGCGCTGAAGCCGTCCTTTTAAAAGAGCTTTTCTGCGTTAAACTCTTTCCCTAACTGCAATTCAAAACTCCCTTTTTTTCCTCCGTACTTCAAGCTCAGAGCATGTTTCCTAGTACTGTGACTCAAACATCTCTAAGCTACTTGCATGGCAGATTAGAATTTAAACAATGCTCTTTACTCCTGTATGTGAATATGTAAATTTCTCCAAATATTTATATTTTGACATTGAACTAAGCGGCATGCTGCAAAGTGATCCAAAACCCCAGCACAACASTTTAATCTCGAATTGTGCTAAAGCATCTCTGCCAAGGATCAAGTCTATTTTGAACAGCACAGTGAAAGATTTTAGGCCTAAAAACTACACTCTGTACTTCCACTTGGTTGGTTAAAATATGAGCTGGAGATTCATATTCCCTCAATCTATTCTGAGCTTAATTTTATCAAGAAGACATTACTTCTTTTTTTTTTTTTTTTTTTTTTTTTTTTTTTTTGGGGCTTTTTTTTTTTTTTTTTTTTTTTTTTTTTTTTTTTTTTTTTTATTAACTGTGTTTGTAGTTTTACAGATGTCATGAAATCATTATAACAGAGCTATTTCTAAATTAAAGTTCGATTTGCAATTTTATTTTTTAAAATTGAAAAATTAACTTTCCCCTTTTAGTGTGGTGTAGATAATAACTATTTTTTTAAGAAATCTACAAGTAAAACACAAGTTTATCAGTGAAATTGCAGATGAACGTGTGACATTCATCAGCTACAAAAAGAAATATGCTTCTAGTATTTGTGATTTTAAATATATATTTAAAATAGCTTATTCTACAAGAGATAAAATACTTTTGGGAAGGTGAAATTAGCTTAAGCTTGAAAAGTCAGTTCAGTTGGAGAAAATATGAAAGCAATGCTCTGTAATATAGAAAGACAGTGAAAGCATTATGATACTTTACAGAAGTTCACATAACCAGAAAGCACAGTAATGCCAAAAGCAACATTTTTGGGGGTGTATTTGTGTACTTAAAGAGCAAAAGTTTATGTTTGAGGATGTTTAAAAATTAACAAGTAAAAACTAATCTTTTATGGGTTTTTTTTTCTAGCTCTCTCTTTTGCTTTTGCTTTTTAAAACCACAAAATGTCTGAAATTAAGGCAAGGAAAAAAGCTGTTTCTTCATCGAAGACAAATGAAGGCTCACAAAAGGTTGAGAAGMACAGTAATTTTGGGAAGCTGGCAAGTCCCAGGACCAGCAATAATTCATGTTCCTTTTGGATGGACTCACGGACAAGTTTGAGTGTCATTTCTCTCACTATTTGCCTGGTGGTGACCTGGTAGGTAACTCTCTAAAGCAGATTTTAGTGTTTTGTTTTGTATTCTTTGGGCTGTATGATTTACATGTGTACTGAGTGTTTGGGCTAAGACACTTGTCAAAGCCAGAAGGATCAAGGAAAGAGTAGCAATATTCTTGAGCATGGAAACATTACTTTACAGTGAGTTACTGTAGAAGCTCCATCTGTTACATCATGTTGAAGGTGCCTTGTTCATGAATTCTAAATACCTGCTTTAGAGATGACATCTTTCTGAAGAGCCARCAAGTCTGACTGTAAGTGCTCGTTTGGCAGGCAGTAAATAATTGGAAAGAAGAAGTGAAATTGAGTTTTTTGTAAATAATTTGCTCARCAGTGTGATAAACTGTTCCTCAGGTGGAGTCTTTAATTAAAGGTAAAAATCTTTGTTAAAGATGTTTTAGAATATCTTAGCAAGATCAGTACCTTAGTTACCTTAGCATGCAGTGTAAAAGCAAAGAATCTATGGACRCTTCCTTGTTTTCCTCCTCTTTTAGAAGATAACTGCAGTACCAAGACAGATCAACTTCATTAAATCCTTTTTTATTTCTGTCATGTATTAATCTAGCAAATTCTGTGAACACAAATCTCTGGTCCTGGAACACTTAATATATGCTAATTGAGTAGTTATGTTTTCTGTTTATTTACTTGCAATTTGCAGGTTTCTATTTGAGCAGTCCGGTCACTTTGCTGATCTGGAAAGAAAATACAATTTCTTACAGCAGGAAGCTGAAAAAATCCTGGATGTGAGAAATAAAGTAAACTTAATTTCTGAAAAGGTAATCATTAACRTCTTAATTTGATAATCTTTGGTGAACATTTGTCATGTTTTACTTCATTGCTATTTTGTTAATTTAACTGACTGTTTTAAAATAGGTTTTCATAATCTGTTTTACTTGACTATGAATAGGCCTTTAAAGACTATTTCATGTGACAAAACATGTCAATCTTTGCCACTGTTCAACTCTGTGTATATAGTGGTTGTATCTCAGTATTATTTTTCAGAAATTAAATAGTTTTTAAGAACTTACATGTATACATGGGTTTCATTCTACCAGTCCTCATTTGCATGTGATTCTAACATATATTGATTTGAGGAATATTTACAGGCATTTTGATGTACTGTTCTAATATATGAAGACATGATAAAGTGGTAGATAAGAAAATATGATAATGAAAAAAAACTAACATGTGTGACATTATCATGTAGAAAAGCTGTGCTGGCTGCTGAGTTATTCCTGACATCTTACAGATAATGATGGTAGCATAGTATGGCTCATGCCAGTGATTTTGTTTCAGTGCTGATCTCAGAATAATTCATTTGGATATTTATATAATATAAATAATTTGGATATTTATATACTACACTTCAGATTGAAAAACTTGGCATGGAATTTACTATATTTTGGACACCAAAAAAAACCAAACATGGAAAATAAGGGATTGACAACAAAGAAAATTGCATGTATTCTATAGAAGTTGAACAACAGACATACTTTTTTCTGTAACTTTCTCATGTTAGGTTAATCAACAATATTTTAAAGATGAGACATGGAAACAGATCATGGAGGAGCTTTGTAATAAGTACAATGGTTTCTAAGAGACTTTCTTCTCTCTTAAATAAATGGAAATGGTTTTCTATTCTTACTTTTGTTAAGTAGACACAGACATTGTTTTGTGTTGTAAATGCAGCTTCAGTCTTCTGAAAGTATCCTGCGAGATGTTGCCTCATCTGTCTCTGCGATGACTGAGTTTGGACGAGAAATACCTTCTCTTCATAACATCATAAGTGATATTCAGAACAATGAACAGACGCTTTCTCTAAAGATGCAGAGCATTAATGAGAAGTTCCAAAATGTTACAAATTCCTGGAGAAGAAGCTTGGATGAAATGAAMTCAAATGCCACTGGTTTAAAATCTGAAGCAAAGTTCATACATACAGATGTTACTTTCAAAATTAATGAAGTTGACCAAAGAATTAAATCCCTGTCAGAAAGAGTAAGAGATTTGGAAGGCAGTACAGCCAGAAATATTAAAACACTAAAAGAGCAAGAAGATGATGAATTGTCTAGAGTTGAACAAAAGCTGGATTTGAATGCAAAGTTGGTTGAAAAGCTAGAAGAAGAACAGAATAGTCTGGTAGCCAAGGACACAGACCTGAATCAGAAACTTGCAAACTATGAACCTAAAATTGAGGAGTGCAAGTCCCATTTGCCAACAATTGAAAACGCTATTCACTCTATTCTTAGATTGTCTAGTGAATTGCTTGGTATGGAGAAGAAGATACAGGACTTGAAGACACAGCTGTACACTGTGGAAAACGACATGTTGAAAACTGTTTCTGATACAACAGCGATGCAGAAGGTTCTTGAAGGCCTGCAGTCCAATGGCAACTTGTTCCAAATGCAGCATGAAATAGCTGTTCTAGAAACAGTGCCTGACATAACAGTATCTTCAAAAGCAAGAGAAACAACTTCAGAAAGCTTTAACTTAAAAAATGACTAGAATGGGGACAAGTGAATTTGGACTTAAGTTTTTTTTTTCATTGATGAAAAAGCACTTTTTTATAAATAATGTCATTTCAACATATGTCAAGGATAGCTGAAATATTGTCATTGATCGAGAGACGTTGGATCAGCCTGAAAGGCTGAGAAAAAGGCTGCAGAGCAAGACAGTAATMCTGTGTTGAAGAAGGAAAGAAATACTTTCTTAAATTAAGAATTATTTTCAGCTTATTTATGAAAAGATAATTTTTATTAAAAATTAACTTGAAGCACGTTATTTAGATTTGAGGGGAAAACAAGGTCATATTTTTAATTTCTATTTAGTTTTCACTGCTTAGTTTCTTTTGTTGTTACTTTTTGTATTATTTTCCATGGGCTTGTACCACAATGAACAATTAATCACTGATTTCTCAGTAGAAATACATGTACCTTGCCATTAGTGTATTGTACACCATAATGGTTTTGTGCTGCAGGAAAGCACTGAGCGCATTTTAAACACCTGAAGCTTAGATACAATACCCTTACAGAAGACACTAGTGAAGTACTCCCTGCTCAGACCCTTATCTTGTCCTGGTATTTGTAAGCAGCTGGTATTTACATAGCAGCTGGTATACTTAGACTACATTCCCAGTGTTTTCCAACTTCCTAAAATCACTGGCATTGTTTTCTTCTGCCATTAATGTCATTGAACTACACACAGACTGAAGTTCTTACTAAGTTATTCTTTTTAAATTCTTCCTCCATCATTTAATTTACATGTTTGGCATGATCAGTCACTGTATTAGTTTGGGGGGTTGGAGTTTTTTTGTGGGGTTGTTTAGTGCTTTAGGAAYAAATTTTAACCTTCTGTAGGATGCTTTTCGTTAGGCATTACATGATGTCTAGTATTGCTTTGCATTTCAGAGAAAAACAAAGATTAACAGTGTGACTGGCACTGTTTCCCAAAGTTTGCTGAACCAAGAGCTGCAAAAGTAATTAACAAAATCAGTGGAGTTATGTTCTTGGGGGCAGGGAATATCCAGTATATTCATAGATCTACTTGCATGGTATTTTACTGCCTCATARGCCTCATAGCTGTTCATTGAAATTTGGACCTCAGGAACAACATAAATTCTCTGCAGACTTATTGTCTTGATAATTTTGTAGTTCTCAGGAAAGGAGATTGCTTAGTAGAAAGAGTATAAACCCATAACATTTATGACTTAATCACACTTACATTATTCTGTATTTTTACATTTACTTCTCTAGAACTCCACTGAAAAATCTTCACTGAACAGATAMCATGGCCTATTCAAGAGACTAGGAAACCAGTGTTTTTCAAAGTTACAAAGCTGTATCAGTTTCATATATTTATTACTTGTGTATAAGTTCGTGTCTGTTTACAGTCATAGTCAAAATAAAAATATATTGTAGGGAATTTCCCTGTCCTGGTGCATAATCTAATTTAAAATAAACTGTTCTTCCAGAAAGGGTACAGAGTAAATATTTTAGTGTTCCATGTCCTACTAGGTAAAACTATTATGTAAAGAAACTCTTTAAATACTTCCCACAAGTGTGTTCCAGTTCTTGTGTTTCTGCTTCACAGCTTTTTGGGGCAGGCTGGCTCAGCTGCCAGTGGTATGTTCCTTAGTTTAATGTCTTTCATCAATCTCAACCCTACTGAAAGCTGAGTATACAGAATATCAAACATGAAATCTTCATCCTTMGAAGGCATTAAGTAGGAAACAAGCACAACTTTCCACAACCTAAACTTCRTTCTTTTGCTTTTGAGCAAAAAGTTGTGAGCTATTGAGGGATGACCAGCACTATTGAAGAGTTAAAAATACTTGTTTTCAGAGGTCACCTTTGAAAGTTATATAGCACCTTATTGTAATTTTTTGTTGTAATAGAAGAAGCAGTAACATTTGTTATGTATACTGATAAGATTTTTTTTTTGGTTGTGTTGCAACACAAGTTTATTTCCTAGATAGACGGTTTGTACTTAAATATCAGAATAGTAAGATATTTCTTTAAAATACAGCTTGAATTTTGACACTGAGTTGTTAAGCTAGAAATATTTTTGTATCCTTCTAGTGTGAAAAGACTTGGAACTTAATGGAACAGCTGGAAGATCTTCAAATGATATCTCATATTAAACATCTRCAGGAAGATATTTATACAATGAAAACATGGTCTAGCAACATAATTAAAAAACAAGAAGAACTGGAGAAGAATTTAACAAACCTTGTTCATGCAGTTTCAAGCGCTGAACAGAATGCAGCTTCTGTAGCAAAAAACATAACATTGATGATTGTGACAGTAAAAACTGACATAAGGCGCATTTCAGGCCTAGTCTCAGAAATGACTGCTCTGACAGATTCTTTGCAAACACTAGAAGATAAAGTAGAAAAAGGTGAAAAGGCAACAGTTAAAAATATAGGTGACCTCCTTACCAGTAGCATTGACCGAAGCACAAAAATACAAAGCCTGGCATCCAGTAATGCAAGAAGGATCGAGCAAATTAAGACAGCAATGTCTGAGTTAAGAAGTGATTTTAACAAGCATTCCAATAGACTTTTGGATCTTGAAGGTGACAGAGCAAAAGTTCTGAAGACAGTTACATTTGCAAATGATTTAAAACCCAAGATGTACAAAGTTAAGAAGGAATTTGCCATCTTGGAGCCCTTAATAAATGACCTAACACTGAGAATAGGAAGATTAGTGGAGGAGGTGTTACGACAGGAGAAGGAAATTGCTTTACTGAATGAGAAATTGGTCAATCTAACAAGAGTTCAAACAGAGCTCAAGGATGTGAAAGATGAAATAGCTAAGATTTCAGACATTAACTGATCACTTAAAGGCCACTGCATAAACAACAGTGTTTGAGGAGTGTTAACTCCATCATATGTAGTACTGAGAAGATCGACAATATTTAAAGACTTGATTTAAAAGCACACCTAAATCTGAAATTTGCTCTATTCCTTTGAAAAGGACAGGGAAAAGTSATACTTATTTCAAGGTAGTGAACAAAAAAATGTATGTCTCTSTGTGTATTTGTCTTTCTGAAGAATGACAGATACTATATATTAATAAATTACTTGGTTTTTACAATGAAGCAGTGTTAAAGCATGAAATTATGTTCTTTAGAGTTTGCTTTCATGAAGAAAGCAGGACCCATGGATGACAGATCTCCAGTTTTGCTTTYCCACTTCAAAGGAAGGAATAAAATTATGGTTTCCACCTAAACAAGAGGTAGTCAAACAACAGTAGCACTTAACATATTCACTCTATGATTTTTGTAAACTAATTTCTTTTTTTAATAATATTTAATGAGGTAAATGCGCAGAAGCAAGAAATGATCAGAAATGTTGCTGATGCCTTGCCAAAAGCTTGTCACGCATTTAGATGGAATAATTTGTATAAGGCTTTGTCTGAGGCTTTGTAATTGTAAATCAAAATTACAGTGCAGCACTGTTCTGTCTTTAGAACTCTCTACAGGGACAATGCTCAGAAAGACCTAATGTTGCTGATTGCTTTGTCCCAGTGACACGGTGTCTGTGCAGGAATCCTAGCAGTGTTACTYGTTGATTATTTCTTAGTCTATAAAATGCTATAATGAGCAGTACGATTAGCAAAGAGAAGCTATTTACATCCCAAAAGGCTACTGACATGAGCTACTGGTACTGTTTCTGTGCTGAAGAACAGATCTGAGGCATTTGAAAATGCAGTAGGCAATAACAAGATAGTGGGAATGGGTTTAGCAGAGGAAAATAGAAAATAGAGGATGTAAGTGCATTAAATAGGAATAAAAACACTATAAAGATCAATTAGAAGAAATACAGCAACTCAGAAAATCCCTGTAAACGAAATTGTATCAAGAAATGTAAGTATACAGTAAGGCCTTTATAACTTCTCAGTTGGCAATACCTGAACATCTTGCAACTACCGAACTCTTGATTGTATGGAAGACACAAGCATTCCTCTCTCACACTATTCTCATCCTCACTCAGCATTCCTTGTCTTCTGTATCTTCTTTGCTTTGCCCACAGACAATCTTGAATACTTCAACTATTGGTGCAGGTCCATTCCTACCTCCCCCTTTCTTCTATCTCTTTCCAGTCCACCTGGAAAAAGTCCACAGCTGGCAAGAATAAACCTGTCAAAAAAACAAGTTTTCCTAGAAAGCATCCACAGATCTCTACCAGACCCTGTCGCTTGGCTCTTCCACACAATTTTCAAGTGAGACCCTGAAAATAACCAAATGGCATTTGAAGGAGGAAGAAAAATTAAAGAACAGCCATGCAAAAGCATGCATTGTGTATCATASCTGAAACAATGTATGTGCACAGATACAAACACCTTTGGAGCTTGAGGGTTACATAGTAAATGTAACCTTGGATTAATGGTATCACAGGCTACAGCAATTTTGTTTATTTTGTTTTCAACTTTATGAATGSACCATTTGTGGTCAGTAGCCAGAAAGAATCTGGAGAGGCAGAACTGGAGAACCAGTAGAGCACCATCTACACAAGTGATGTGGAAAATACATTCCAGCTGCATCTGAGCAGCCTTGACACAGCAGGGAGTTGTRTCTCCATCAAGAGTCCACCCTCCCCTTGCAACAGTAAACAGAAAATAACCAACAATAAACCACTGTGGATTTCACTTTCAACCTCAAAATTCTAGAACAGATCCCCCAGTGAAAAGCCAACTTCCTGTGCATGRTCTCTAAGGGCAATTAAGCATGCAAAAAATCTTACAGGACCACTCATTTCCCTTTCCCTTTAGATGCATGCAGACCTCCCACCATTCTTCCCAGGTAAGTGCAGATCTAAAGCATTATATTCTTTTCAGAAACTTTTCTTGCTACAAGAGAAAAAAATTAAGTCACAAAGATAAAGTTTACTTGGAAAAAGTTATTTTAGAATTATCTGTATCTAAAGTTGTCACACCTACCATACTGAGCTCAGCCATAAGGCGAGAGATCAGAAATTCTCCTGTAATCTGTACAGGTATTACAAATCTGTTTGCTCTTCCAAGCACACATCCCCACTTATTTCTAATAGTTTTATAGTAGCTTTGTAATTACACTGCTCTAAGGAGAGAGGCAGAGAGCTGTTTCTGCAGTGGAAAAGGTGAGCAGACCATGAGGTATTTTTAAAAAATTTAAAGCAGACCGCTAACCTTGCCTCCTTGTTTTAGTACTGTCAGTGGTGGGGAGAGTATCAGCTTGGTAAAACTACAACCCCTTAATTAATTTCTAGAGTCATGCAGTGATACTCCTGCAATTTTATCAAATGATTGAGATATTCAGGTTATAATGAAAATYACAGCTATGTTACTTTAAACAGATCGTCCATGGAGCCCAACCTGTAGTGAAAATCAGGCCACCATCTTAGCTTTTTATTTACTTTTTAGGTATGGAACTGGCCAATTAATATTCTTGTCAGCAACTTGCAAGGAAAAAAACAACCYAAAAGCCAGTAACAGTATTAAGTGATCATTGATGAAGAATTACATGAGCAAAGTAATTCCAAAACATGTAAAATCTACTTTTAGACACCAGAAAATCTGCTCTGGCAAGAATTTCCTGCTAGCAATAGGTTTTTCCCCAGCACTGTCAGAAAAAATATATTCTGCTTCAAGGCCATGCAACTATTAAACTCATCTACCCAAGGTACTCATGTTTGCTATAAAAAAGCAGGATGTTTATTGTTTTCACTGTGAACTACATCATTTCTATGTAGAAATGTAAATGAATTACAACTATTTGTATCACAGCCCATTTTAAAATGATATGCAACAAACATTTCCGCGAGTATCAGTGTCAGCACATTTCATCCGTAGTACAACCTGATACAAACACCGTGTGCGAATGCAGTTGTTCCAAATTTATAGATATGCTATGCTTTAAACCAGAAAGCTAATCTCAGCTCCAAAACCAGCAAGAAAGGATATTTTCTCCTTCATAAAAWATACACAAGCAGCATATACATAATCCATGTTTTACAAAGCACTTTGGGATTTAGTGATGGGTCTGGAGTTGTCCAAGTTCAAAATGGAGTACCCCTTTTCGATACAGGACTTTGCTTGCAACGAAGTGCAAATCCATTGGAAACACCACTGCTCCATCTCCACCTTTGGAAAATGTACCAGGCATTATGCACAAAGCAGTTATCAATGACGAAGCTGACCTTTTAAATGCATTTTAATACTACATTTTTCTCACTGAAGCTTATTTAAAATACCACCATTTTAACTCTTTAAGCAATGCCCTTTCCAAACAAGCCATCTGAACAATTCTATGGCTGAATGTCAGTGAAGCCAGCAACTGCAATGCACTTCTCTCCCCCTCTTGGGTTTTCCACTGAAACACAACACTGCAAGGAGCACTAAGTATATTTTCCCTTTCTCAGTTACAGAAGGGGAACTGCTGGCTGATCCTTGTAGTCTTACATCAGATTTACCTTGATAAAATCATGTGAGCATCTTTAAAAGATAGTTTCAGATCTACCCTTGAGCAATGAGAAAATGGACTTAAGAGTCTCTTATGATTGCACGCATTTGTAACAACTGTGCAACACTGACTCAATCCTAGAGAAAAAATGTGCAATTCTGCTCYATATACAGAATTAGAGTCTTGAGAAATTTAGCACAGGACTAGATTGCTTGACAGACTACTGCAATGCATGAGCCAAGCTTGTCCCACTCTTTTGCCATCCTTAAAATTTGATAGAAGTTCTTCCCTTTCCCCAGGATTAGAAGGAACTTTCAGCAAAGAAAAATCTACTGTGTTAAAATATGCCTCTAAATAAACTGACATCCAGTACACAAAAGTTGCTTTTGCCTAGCAAGTTGCACCATACATACAATTTCAAAAGGTGACTTAACATCAACAGTCTTGATAGTAAGGTCATAGTAAAGGCTCTTCTCCAAGGAAGCTCTTATAAGTATTTAATRACTCATTAAATAATTTCAAAGCTTCCCATTCACAATGGGGAAACAAGATTTACACACTTTTGAGCATTAAATAATTTTAATTCAACAATTAAGTACGTGTACAAATATTTTATTTAGACATAGGGTATTTGACTCTGCTGTGTAATGCAGGCAGMTACCAGCCACTTTAAGTGCCTTAATTACTGTCATGGTGACAGGGAAATGGTGTAGTTTTAGCTTTTACTCTGCATTCTGAAAGGCAATAATTTAAAATAAGGCCCAGCTTTCTTGTTTAGCATAATCATGCAAAATCTTGGAAACTGGAGTGTTTTCCCAGAGAGTGAGAAGCTCAGTGTTACAACAGCAGGCACATCTGACTCCAGCAAGGTGCAGCAGTCAGTACACTTATGCTATTCCAATGGCACCTGCCCTATTTGTCCTTTTCAGTATGAAGGAGCCAAGAGGAGCAGTGTAACATACATGAGTGCCAAGCTCAGTATCAACAGCTCACATGCTGTAAGGCAGCATATCCAGTTTTTGCACAAGAAACACCTGAGCTCCAGCTCTGCTTTGTTAGCAAAGCAGTACTAGACAGGGTGGTGATTACCAACTGTAAATTATTGAACAGGTGAAATGCAGAAGGCAGCATGATCATCCTTCACTAACACTTCAGAAAAAAAATTAAAAAACAAATACCTTAACATTGCCTTAACTATCATCTCCTCTTGTGTGCTGAGGAGCATGTATTTCTTCACATCAAGGGCCAAAAAATTGTGTATGGCTCCTTGTACTGCAAAAACACATGGTTCAACCACAACTCAGAATTAAACTAACTCAGAAAAAAATAACTGAAATAAAAAACTACAGCTGTAGCAAATGTAGGGAAAAGCAGGCAAGCTATTCAAACTCTAGAATAAAAGACAAGCCATTTTTATTTTACTGTAAAGCTGAAGTAAGCTGTTAGTAGTCAAATGTATTTGAAAACTTTTATTAACATCAGCTTTTCTCTACTTAAGAGGTAGCAACTACTGTTTAATTCCACAGGACAATCAGAAGGGCCAGTTTCTTTGGTGTGGTTCAAAGCCAACAGAAGCAGAAATTAGTCAAGCATAAGTTAAGTTGGGATGACCATCCCAAGGCAGAAACTGCTCTAGTATGCATAAGGTTCCTTTTACTTCTGTGGGGAACAATGGTATCAGACCAGGATGCCCAATCAGACTCCAGTCTCACCTCAGCCATTCAGTTCAGCTGTTCTACAGTAACAGCTTATTACAGGCAAATGATCAGTGGGTTCAAAGTGCACATGACTGCAGATAAGTTTCTGCAGTTCTGCAAGGACAGGTTCTTGGCACTTCTCTGGAAACAGTGAAAGCATAATTTTAAGTGGAAGAATAACATTTCTCTAGTTTCTAGTGTGGAACCAGGTAATTAAAAAAAAAAAAAAA